TTATGAAATAAATGAGTAGAGAAATTGATTCTGTTTAAGCAGCATAATTTTACGATATTTAATATTTTACGGTATTAAATATTTTACGGTATTCAATATTTTACGGTATTAAACAATTGTTATTCAGTTTTGATTTACAAAATTTATTAATTATTTTATTTCTAATTATCAAAGTTTTTAATCAAAATTGAAAAATATATAATAAAAAAATTTAATGGAACTCAAGTCACGATTATAAATTTTATAAATCTTTTAAAAATTAAATTTAATTATAATACTAATGTATGTATAACAGTTTAATATTACAATTATTTGAGAAGAACAAAAGACGAATAACTATTTTAAAGTTTTTTAACTTGCATACTCAACATATGATCGGACTATAATAAAATTTCTTTAATATCATTCATATTATTTTATTTTTAAAAAGTAACAATTTAAAAGTATTGTAAAATTTAAAAAATAAATTTTATATTATGCCATTAAAAATGTGTATTAAAAGAGAGAAAGAGAGAGAGAGAGAGAGAAAAACATTTATGAAATTATTAATATCAACAATAATATTTCATCAATCAAAAAATTGAAAATTATGAACAGATGTTGTCACCAATATAAAATTTAAAAGTTTTTTATTTGATTTTTTATTAAAAAAAGAAAAGAATAATTTTGAAAATAAATAAAAATGTTGTATAAGATGTCGTTACTACATAAGTACGACAAAATCTAAAAAAAATCTGAGGTAAAATCTGATGATTGTTTACATGTCAAATTGAAATTATCTGACGTAGCTCGGACTTTACGCCAAAATTCAATAATTTTGCTACAAAAATTATAATCAAAATTGAAATGAGTAAAACTCGTACAAAAATTCTATATTGGATAAATTCTATAAAACTTGATTTATTTTTAAATAATCTCGTAATAAATCTGATGAGAATAGTGTAATTTCTAATATAGACCATAATACAAAATGTGATGTCAAACACAATGTTTATAGATCAGATTCAGAGTAAATATTGGATTTTGTCGCATATGTTAACGGTACCTAAAATAAGTATTGTTTATAATGTTTATTTTTACTTTATGTAAAAAAGTTCCAGGTTATACAAAATAAAAACTTAGAAATGATATAAATCTTGCTGCTCCGTCATCCACTACTATAACATACTATTGGTATTAAACTATATTATTAATTAAAATTCTTTAAAAAATGTAAAATTATTTGAGCTTTCGATTTTAGGTACTCAAATAAGAAAAACCGATTTATTAATCCGTATTAATTTAGCATCTTACTTTATGTTCTAGCTCATAATTTTTGTTTTTAGTTAACTTATATTTTTAAAACACTTTGTATTAAAAATTTTAATATGAAAATGTCTTTATAACAATATGCAGTATATACAAAATAGTTCTAAACAATTTCATTGTTTATTTATATTATATATGCATATATTATATATTATATAATTTATATTAACAAGAATATAAATACACTTATATATAATGTATACATAGTATGTATGCATGCATATTATAGTTCATAATTTTGTGCTTTAAGCATTTCAATATACTAACCATTATACAATGTACAATATTGTGTTTAAGGCAATAGCCATACATTTGTGTACCTCGAGCATTGTAAGAGCAGTTGATTTTATATTTTAACAGTCTATATCTTAGCTATTATTCGTATAGTTATTTGTGTATACATAGACATACATATGTAGTTTCTAGACTTAAAATTTTCTTATATTTGGCGTTCTCATTTCTTTTATTTTTATAATATTATTTTTTCTTTCCAGTTTATTATTGTTTTAATTTGCAAAAGTGGCCTATTTTATATTTGCTTATTTTTTTGTTCGTTTCTTTAATATTTCTTAATATATTTATTTGGTATATGTGTATGTATATATAAAGTAAGTAAAATTATAGGTAGGTACCGACCGGTGTAAGTTTGTACAAGAGAATTTTAATTTTAATTTGAATTTGTGGGTAGAAAAGAAGTTTATTCCAACAGTTTTTTCTTTTCCATTTGGGCGACGCGCGATAATATTAAAAATATTTTTTTTTTCTTTTACACTTTAAATTTCATCAATAAATTTTAATTTACATTTGAAATGGTGGTTGTTTTTCTCTTTTTATATAGAGGTGTTTTTGAGGTTAATTCAAATTAATTCAACAAGTTTTTATATAATATTTTAACCAATGTATAATTATTGGTATTATCATAAAAATTAAATTTAGTATTCTGACTAAATTTATATAAAAAAAAAAAATAATTAGATTTTTCAAATGTTGCTTTTGTTTCAAAAAAAATTTTGAATAAAAGTGCTTATTAATTTTACTCTGTCCGTCCATGTACACAAAACTGCTACACCTTTGAAGATAGAATGCCTAAATTATGTCCATATGTCTAGAAACTTATTTCCGTAAAAGAAAATTATTACCTATCTCCCTCCCCTAAATGTTATAGTCCCCCAAAGACATTAAAATACCATTTTTTGACTATTACGAGTATACAATGCCTTCATAATTATTTTTCTTAATTTACGCAATCAACCCTAAAATTTGACCATTATGTTAACGCTTCTTTCAATTTTTTTTCTTGTCTTATTCCGAATATATGCAATCTTTGAAATATATTCGTATATAAATTGAAGTACATAATTTAAATAGTTTAAATTTTCGAATTGCTTTTAAAAGCACTATTTTCACTTATTGAAAGGAAAAGTACTACTTTACAAACCATTGGATTCATCTAACTTTATTTCGATTTTTTTCTTAAAGATAACATTCTAAGTAAATATTTTCATATTTTATTTTTATCATTGAAGTTATTTAATTATTATACGTTAAGGTTATAAATTTTTTGTTTTCTTCTAATTTAGATCAAGTTCATTTACTGATAAAGTATAATTACTAATTATGTACGCACATACATATGTATGTATTGTAAAAACTTATTCTGTTTAACTTTTGAAAATGTTGATTAGATATTTGGTAAGAATATTGTAGAAGAGAATGATGTAATGAAAATGACTAATTTGAAATTATACATATGATGTAAATATTTAAAAAATTTAAGAATTTCAAAGCAATTTCGGTAATAGAAATTGTTGGTATTATTATCAAAAAATTTATTCTGAGATTTTTCGAATATTCAAACGGAAGCTCTTATGCTTATATAAGTACATAATATAATTTTGTTATGTCATACAAAATTTTATTATTGACTTTAAACTTCATATTTTTAACAGCTTAAAATCATGTAATTGCATCTTGAAATTATTTCAACCAAACTTTAAAATAAAATTTTAATTATAAAATTTTTGAGATCAAATTATACAAAACACAACACTATTGCTTTGGTTCTTTTAATAAAGAAGAAAACACATTGGTTCAGAAACTTAGATAAAAATCAAGATACTGCTCAGGCACAAATATTCGCTATGGTCGGATTTTTCGTTGGAACCGATTTTGTTAGAAGAATACAGCCATTTTTCTTAGTAAGATCAATATCTTAGATTTGCGTAGTATTTCGAATCTAGAAATCTTCAAACCAGGTGAAAATCTGAAAACTCACAGGTCTCTCAATATAATTTTGCATATTTTCAGGCTGCATACAATTTTCAAAAGTTTTATGAGTATTCATGAAACTCAAATGGGAAAATTTTAATATTATAAACTAAATTTTGAAATCCCATACATTATATAACTTTTTTTTTGATAAAGTTTTTCTTTTAAGATATACACAAATTAATTTATTATACGTAAAAGTATGTACAATAAATCAATATGTAGACAAGATATACAAAAAGTTTAAATCATGTAAAAAAGTTCTCGATAACACAACAAAAATATATCAATAATAATTTACTCATTAATAATCATTCATGTATAAAAATTGTTGTTTCTATATTTATTTTGTAGGTTCCTTCTTTTTTTCTTTTATAAAAAATTTAGGATCTTCTTTTTCAAAATCCTCTTAACTCTATATATAATAATGTATAAAGTTTGTCTTGTTATATTATACAACACACATTTCTACATACATAACTTCATTTGGAGTACCTATCATTGCTCATGTTTACATTTAAAGTATAGAGTATATAGAAACTTATATATACGAGTACTAGTAAATAGGTACATTTTCTATTTAAGTTGTTATAGTGCCTCTAATATATTATTACGGAAAACATGTTACATTATTAAGATCGAGTTGAATGAGTAACAGATTTATGTTTAATAGGTCTTCTTATATTATTATTATTATATAAATATTACAGAATAAATTAGAATTACAAATTATTGCTAAGCGATATTAATATTTTTGATTTTGAACATGGTATAGAAGTTTTATAGAAAATAATAAGGCAAGAAACAAATTTATTTTGAAAAAAACAAAAAAGTTTTTAAAAAGGAAACCTTCCCATAAATTTTGAAGAGCCAAAATAATATAATAAAAGAACTTTTCAATATATATATATGTATATATATATGTATATATATATATTTCTATATTATTTATATAAAAGATTATTAATAATATGAAAAGTTTCGAAATAAATTTTAATATTGTAATTTAGGGTAAAAAAAGAAAATTTTTATTTTAAGGATATTTTAAGGACTATTATTATTTATATAAAAAAATAAATTGACCCGAAATATATAAATGTATAAGCAGGTATTTTGAATAAATTTATATTAACAATAAATATTATGGATTTTTGATAAAGGTACATAAAATACCTTAGAAAAGAACCAAAAGTTACGCTTTACCATTGTAATAGATAGCTAATAGCAATGATAATTGTACGTAAATTATAATTGTAGGCAATATTGGTTATTATAATGCTATAAAAAGTTGAAAATTCCAATAAAATAAAGTATCATTATAAAAATTTTAAAAAACTTTAAAAAATTTCTACATGACTTGATAATAAATCAAAATATTTAAATACTAAAAGAGAAAGAAAGAAATATTAAAATATTTTACATACCCATTTGTAAATCTGTTAAATGTTCAACTAATGCCCAATGTGGTTCCATTTGAACATGATTTTTATCAGCTAATAATCTTGTTACATGTCCACATGACATTCTTTCATCAACAAGTAATGATTTTGATGCACCATCAGCTGAAAATGCTTTAACAAATAATCGTCTTATTGATGCATGCTCTAATTTTTGTAATGCTAATTGAATTTTTGCTGCTTTAGCACTATCAATTTGTTGTATATTACCAGCAGCATGTTGTTGTTTTAAATGTGCTGCACTAACAACACCAGATGATGCTGATGATTCTGATGATAATAATGATACAGTATCACTAAATGCTGAATCATTATCTGGACTTTCAGTACGTGGTTCACGTAATGCAACACCATTTTCAGAACCATTACCACTTTCTGATGATGATGATATTGTTGAATTTGTAGCACCAGATACTGTTGAATTTGAACGACTATGTGTTCTACCATGTCTTAATTCTGTTGTTGAATTTGTATGTTCAAGTAAACTAAGTTCACCTAATATTGCATCTAATTCAGATTCATGTGTTTCTTCTAAATTAGCCATTGAAAATCGATATGAATTTGTACGTTCGTTCGATTTATTTCTTTGTAAATCACTTTTAGGTCGTAATTTTGCTGGTGATATATTATTAATACCGGTCAAATGATGTGTTGTTGTTGTTGTTGTTGCTGTTATATTATTATTAAATGATGGCGGTGTTATTAATTGGGTTGTTGATGTTGATATTTCTAATCCCTATATTAAATGAAATAAAAAACAAATTAGAAATTGTTATTTAAATTAAAATTTTAAAAATAAAAAAAATTTTAATGCTTTTTAATTGCTTTTCTTTTAAATTTAAATTTAACAAGTATAAATTATCGGATAAACTTTATTATATTTTTGGAGAAACAAATTATTAAATAGAATTTTAATGATTTTTAACACCCTTCTTTAATACATTTTAACCTTAATATGAAATGTTTAAGAAGAAAAACTAATTTAATATAAATTATTTCTAATCTTAAAAAATAATTATAATTTCCCCAAAAATTCTTTTATATTTATAACAATTTTCACTACCATATCCCTTAAGATAGCTTAAATTCTTAATAACTATACACAAACCCTTAATTTACCACTCAAAATTATTTATTTTTTCGATTAATAAAATCTAGAAGAATAAAGGTAAATATTTATACGAATGTATGTAAATTAGTATATGTACTCGTATATGTATAATAATCTAGAAGAAGTAAAAAAATGCCGGTAATATTAAAATTAAAATCATTTCAAAATTTACTTTACACTTTTATCATAGATTAATTTGTATAGAGGGGTGTTTAAGCTTCAAACGATTAAAATTTTACTTGAGTTAGCTAAAAAAAAAATATAATATTATTTGCTTAGAAAAAAAATATAAGAGTTTTATTAGGAGAAAAACGCAATAAAATGACAAAATTTATGTGTAAAGCTACCCACATCCTTTACGTAAACAGAGAAATAAAAAATTGTTCTTTCTTAATTTTTTTCTTTTATCACTTTCTTCTTTTACCCATTATATAGAAGGATTGCTTATGAAGCATTTTCAAAATATACATTGAAGTTTTGTATTCTAAATAGTCAAACGCAAAAATTCTATTTATTACACGAATATATAAGACTAGTTCCTTTCCACTTTCCTTTTATCGTTATCTTAAATAAATATATTTGAGTATGTACTATGATGTTGCTTTTGGCAATTTATTAAGCATAAGGTTTAAATCAAAACGTAACTATGTACAATATAAAATAGGAAAATGCTTATATTCTTATAATATATACATTTATCGCACCCATAGAATAATACTGTCACATTATTTAAACTAAAACAATTTTAAATTACTTATCGTATAATATCGCACCCGCAAACATTTTTTAAGTTTCGCAAACGCAGAAAAGTACCTACTTATTTCTTCTACCGTAATACCGTATTGTTTTATATCATATTGTATTAAAATTAACCGTTATCCCGTTTTTTTGTCAAACTTTTGATAATGCGCTTCTTTTAGAGGTAAATTTAGAGATAATTGAAATTTTAGGGTTAATATTTTATTTTATTAGAAGAAAAGAGAAGAATTGAAACGATCTAATCTAGTTTTTTAAAAAAACTGTTTTCAATTGTTTAAGGAAAGATGCTACTCTATATATATACGTGCTATAGTATTTAGTTTGATCGGAATTTAGTCCATTCCGTATTTACTGTTATACCGTAATATTGTTCTCTAGGTGCATTATTATTTTATATTTTAAGAAGAAGAAAAAAAATAGCTCGTTCAACTTAAGGAAAAATCTAATCATATAAAATTATACATAGAAAAATTTATAATAAACAAATAATATTTTTATAATGGTTCCGCTCGAGGAAATTGTTATATAATTGAAATAACTTATTATACAATATAATAATGCAAAAAAATACAAATTGTATTATTAAAACAAAAGAAGAACAGAGATCCTTAAATTATATTAGATCATAAAGTATGATTTGCTTCATAAATTTTATTATACAATACTCGTATTAAACCCGGTTACAATAAAAAATTTAAATAATTTTATATAAAATTTAAACAGAATAATTTCGATGGTATTTTTTTAAATTTTCCAAAAAAAAACATGAAATTTTCCAGGCTTTTATAAAGTTGAACAAATATTAAGTTCAATAAACCATATAGAAAAATTTCTTGTTTTCTACAAGATGAAATCCAAAAATTTATTTCAAAAAAAAATTGAATAATTTTATCTGGATATTTTTTTTAAAATTTCCAAGTAAATTTTTAACTTATTTCTAAATTTACACTCAATTTCACAAAAAAGATTTTTTTTTTTTGTTTTATTGCAAAAATTTTATCACCATTTTGCCAATATTTTATATGTATGTATATAATATTGATGATATTTGAAATTTCAATATTTTTTAGTAGAGCCAATGACCACGCGTGCAATTTGATGATTAAAGTAAAAATATTAAACTTAATAATTGTTGGTATAAAATAATTTATATTATTATATTTTCAGATTTTTTACGATATTGAACTGACAATTTTATTTTAAAAATGTTTCAGAATAAGAAACTTATTAATAATTTAGATTAGCTAATTGGATATACGAGTAGTATACATATATCATAATGTAAGTATGTACAATACTTCAGTGAAAAATTACTAAGACAATTTGTTAAAGAAAAGTAACAACAGAAACCGATTGTTTTCTAAAATTTTTATTGCGTCAAAATGAGGTGAAACCCTGTTGAAAATTTTTTATTAAAAATATCAAAATTACGGCACGTTTTTTTGGAAATATTTGTGACATATTTTAATTTAAATTGAATCTTTATCAATTAAATATATAGAGCCTCTTACTGAAGTAAATTGACTTAAGACATTGAATTTAAATTATCAAACCGATTTCATACCTTTTTAAATCAAAAATTTTCGAAAAATGTTCTAAAATCAAATCTAAATTTTGTCTTGTTGTCAAATAACAAGTTTCTTTTGTGACATTTTTCATATTATAATTAGAATTTAGAATGAATTTTCTGTTAAACAAAGTGTTTCGTTTAAGATGGCAAATAATTTCAAATCTGTTCAAGAATTTTCTGTTATACAAAGTGTTTCGTTTAAGATGGCAAATAATTTCAAATCGGATGATTCTTTGATCAATTTTCAGCGTAAGATTGTATGGGCGGAGCAGATATACTCGTTTTCAATGTACAGCCTGTTTGAAAAAATGGTACCGAACTTTTTCTGCGTGTAAACAAATGCTCATAACTTCGGAACCATACAATATAGAGTTATCTCGCCACCCAACCCCCCTGCCTTGGTGAAAAATTTTTTGCTGGAAATTGATCAAAGAATCACCCCTGAAATTATTTGCCATTTTATGCGAAACATCCTGTATAATAATATTTTTCTTTTTAACTTCAATTTAATCTGTAATACTAAAAAAATATTATTATAAAGACAATTTAAAAATTTTAATACTTTTGATAATTAAATAAAGATATGAACACTTTTAGTCATCGTATATAATTTCCGTTCACCCCTTTTATTTTTCTATCGAATTATTTTTTTTTTTTTTTATTTCAACTTACTGAAATGGAAACAAATGGCACTATATAAAAAATAATTTACCGAAAAAAGAAAAACGTATATAAAAAAGTATAATATTCAAAATGAAAAATATAAAATTTAATCATAGTATATAAAACGTGTCTTATCACAACGTTCCAGAGCAGTCATCGCATCGCATATACCATAAATGAAATTTTGTTTTTTTTTTTTTTTAAAGTGAAAGGATTTTGTTTTTTAATTTTTCATTTTCTTTTCTTATTTTTTTTTCTGTTCCTTTGTCTAGGATATTGTATGCATTATATGATTACACACATTTATTGTGTATACATGATATGAGCGTCTTTATGCAAAAAGAAAAAAAAAAGCAATATGTTTCACATAATATTTTGTTACAATAACTTCAATATTACTTAAAAATTTAAAATCTGTTGTTAAAAGAAAAGAAAAGGGATATTTATTGCGTATATTATATGTAAAGTACATCTATTTACTACTCATAGCTTATATAATAAAGAGTAAACATTTATAATAAGTGTGTAATTTATATTGAAGAGAATTTAAGTATAAAAGTTTTGTTTAAGTCTCTTATTACTCGCATAAGCTCATACGAATATTTTTATTTGATTATATTATAGAATTTTATATTTGTTGTTGCTGTCGTCGGCTCTATACGCCGACACGACAGATTTTAATCTAATAATAACAATAAAGTTAACATGAAAAATATATCGCACTTTTCAACTTGTATTATAGTTTAAATTATATTTCATTTTCTTTTTTTTATAGAAATTCTTGCCTTTTGTATTATTGTTATTTCCATTTATTTCCTATAATATGTACGTATAATATAAATATTTTATATACTATATATACGTATATAGTTAACGAGTAAGTATATTGTAAAACACATGTTGCTTTTTAAGCTTTATGTAGATAGAAAAATAAAAAAAAGAAACTATGAAAATGATATTAAATTGATAGCATTTAAATAGCTTTTAAAATTTTTGTTTTTAAAATAAGTATGTAGCTGTATAGCTAGTCATGTTATTTATAGTACTTTAAGAATTATGTTCATTTATGTGTGTAAAGTATGAGTTAAATATACATTTATGCGTACTTAAAATACTGATACACAAAGTTTATACAACAATTTGGAAGAATTTTTGTAAGGGGAACAAAGAATTTTTATGAAAAAATATAAGAAAAATTTTAATTTAATATTATTCTTTTTTTGTTTTATTACAAAAATATGTTGCGACATATTTTTTTAAGAAAAATAATAATTGTTAATAATAATATTATATTAATATTTATATTACAGATATGTACATATGTATGTGTACACATTCAAACCCCTGCAATACGAACACTCATCAGACGAAATTCTCATTTATTATACGATACGAACTGTTTTGTTGCATTTTGCATAATAAATATTTTTTTTTACTCCATCATAACGCAAAGTATCCACCATACGAATTATTTTTGTCGTAAAATTATGATTCGTGTTACGGAAGCCCGACAGTAATCTCTCGAATAAAGTTATCTCGATTTAATATACATAAATTTTATTTTTGATCTACTATTTCTTCACTTTAAGTCATCTCATTATATATTTTAAGGAAAAATAATT